CCTGATGCAGCTCATCAAAGAAGGCAAGGCACGACGATTTTGGGTCCAGGAGGGACTCGTTTAAACAAAAGGGAATAGGGTTTATGTTCCCCGAGTGGACAATTTGAGGCGTGAACTCTTAAAAGAGTGTCACGATTCCCTTTGGGTTGGACACCCAGGCATTCACAGAACGTTGGCTCTCATGGAGAGGGCCTTCTACTGGCCGAAGATGGGGACTGATGTGGAGGAATATGTTCGAACATGCCTTACTTGCCAACAAGACAAGGTGGAACAGCGGAAGCCGGTGAGACTTTTGAGTCGTTGCCCGTACCAGAAAGGCCGTGGGAGAGCATTTCCTTGGATTTCATATCAAGCTTGCCACTTGTAGGGGAACTCGGATCGATACTCGTGGTGGTCGATCAGTTTTCAAAGTATGCAACTTTCATTGCTGCTCCCCTACACTGTTCAGCAGAGGAGGCGGCCAAGCTGATGATGACGGATGTGGTGAAGTATTGGGGAGTCCCGCACAATATCATTAGTGATCGAGACGCTCGGTTCCTGGGACGATTCTGGACCGAGCTATTCAAATTGTTGGGGTCAAAGTTATACTTCTCTACAAGCCTCCACCCCCAGACGGATGGCCAAACTGAAAGGATTAACTCGCTCCTAGAGCAATATCTCCGACACTACGTGAGTGCCAACCAACGAGATTGGGTGAAGTTGTTGGACATTGCCAAATTCTCCTACAACTTGCAGCGGAGCTCTGCATCCAACAAGAGCCCCTTCGAGATCATCACAGGATAACAACCGTCGACTCCGCACACCATGGCAATTGGGTATACTGGGAGTAGTCCATCAGCCTATCATTTCGCAAAGGAGTGGCATCGAAATGCAGATATTGTGCGGGCTTACTTGGAGAAGGCGACAAAAAGGATGAAGAAGTGGGCAGACTTGGGAAGGCGACCGCAAGAGTTCAAAGTTGGCGATTTAGTGTTGGTAAAGCTCCAACCGGCATCACTCCAATTCTTTAGGAACAGAGTCAACAAAGGATTGGTGCGCAAGTATGAAGGGCCCTTCCCAATCATCAGCAGGGTAGGCAACGTCTCTTACAAGTTGCAGCTTCCGGCGTGGTTCAAAATTCACAACGTTCTTCACGACAGCAACCTAAAAGCCTACCACTCGGATCCGCAATATGCTTCCCGAAGTGTTCCAACTCGGCTACCTCCCATCACAACCTCCTACGAGAAGCGAGTTGAAACCATTTTGGCGGACCGCAAGATAAAGCTACCCAACGGAGCTGAGCAGACAGAGTACTTGGTGAAGTGGCGAAAGCTTCCCCGAACTGAAGCCAGTTGGGAGCCTGAAGACGCCCTACGACATGAAGAAGAAATCATCAACAACTACCAACAAGCGTCGACGAGGGCGTCGACGAGGACGTCGACAGTTTAAGTGGGGTAGAATGTCACGAACGGTCGTTGCGCACTCGCAACAACTCCATTCAACGAACCGTTCGTCGCTCACACCTACATGTACAGCTGCTTGACAGCATCTTTTCTCTTGGTTTTGGGTCATTTTGCTTGTAAAAATGTAAGTTCGAACAATTTTCAACGTTACAAAGCGACCGCTCACCGAACCGAGCAAAACAGCCCCAAAACAACCCAAAACAGCTATGTTTTCGTGTGCCGCGAGCTGATTTCTGCAATCTACCTCCGCTCACCAAAACGTCAGCCATCTCAGCCCCTTTGAACCCCCCGGGTAGCACAGGGCTAGATGGGGCTTCGGTTATATACCGAGCGTTGAACTCTCTTTCGCAAGTTCGCACGTGGCCTTTACGGTAATTTGTTGTCGCACCCGGGACCAGGTGAGCGGCTGTTTATGGGCTTGCAGCTGTTCGTTCAACCTTCTAAAGCCCTTGTTTTCCCCCTCTCCCTCTTTTCTCTTGTGCACGCAAGGTGCTCGCTGAATTGCTTGTAAAGCTTCCCCTTTTCGCGAGACTTCGGGACTTGTCCGTTGCTCGTTCTTTCGAACTAATCAACTTTCTCTTTTACAGGTCCTTCGGGACCTGCGAGAGGTTACAAGTGGACTGATCCTTGCGGAGCAATATCGCAAGGGCGAAGCGCGACTTAGGCAACGCAAGCTAAGTTCGCGTCTATGCCGCAAGGGTGACTCGCGACTTAGGCAACGCAAGCTAAGTTCGCGTCTTTGGCCGCAAGGGTGCCTCACGCCTTAGGTAATTCCAGCTAAGGCTGTGACAACATGCCACATTATTATCGTTGCCTCATAAGGGCCATCATCTCCACTACCCCAGTATGCCTCTTTGAAACCTAACATTAAAAACCTTGATTTAGATAGCTCTTGACAGCTAGCTTTTCTTTTTTTTATTTTCTTTTTTACTTTCTCTCTCCACACGCGATCTCTCTTTCATGCATCCCTCTCCCCTCTTTCCTTTGCCTCTTTGTCCTCCCTAATGTTGATGTCACTACCTCCGCCTTGCAATGTCGTGATTGCTATCGCCACATGCCACATTATTATCGTTGCCTCATAAGGGCCATCATCTCCACTACCCCAGTATGCCTCTTTGTCCCCTCCATCACATCCTCTTTTCTTCTTTCTCCTTCACTTCCCCCTCTATCTCCTCCATCTCTACTCCATCAATCCTCCCTCTCTCTCTCTCTCTCTCTCTGTAGTCCGACCAATACTAAGTGCCAGTATAACGATCCATGCTGAAGCCGTAACACCAACCGATGTTGGCAGGAAACTAGGATTTTAAACATTGCTTTCTCACACCCTCATTTTCAAATTCAACATGCACCATACCCCAAATCAACTTCATTTACAATCTTAATTGATATCCTGCAATTATCACGTCACAACTTCCAAAATTATGATGCACATTATATGTTCTTTTTCTAATTTTTGTATAAGCATTATGGTGAAGAAGAGTAAAATAGTTGTAATGACAATTTCTCTCGTGCTATTGCCATTGTCATGCATACATATTCAATATGGCAGTCATTTGATTATCTGAACGGGTAAATAAACAAATACATAGAATATATAGATGATCATTTTTTTTTAAATAGATGATCATCTTACTTCTTGCTCTTTATTTAATTATTTGGCCAGGGTATTTTCTGTTTTTGATGCCCAAATAAATTGTCTTCGATGAAGGTTATCCTGATTTTTATAACAATACTTGATATTGATTCTCTATCACACATATGACAGAAATAATGGCATCCCCAATGCCACTGCATTCAGATTATCAAAACCATTTTTTTCAGTATCATGTTTATGATGCAAATTGTCACACCTTTTAATAATAACATATAATCAAGAAACTTTTGAAGTTTCTGCAGACCTCAAAATTTCTCAGGTGAAATCAATCCAAAGCAACCCCTGTTTTAGCATTTGAAGGATATGGCTACAGTTACTCTCCTTACTATTCAAATAGAGTTAAGCTTCAGTCAGACTAGAACTATACTAACCAGCGTTGAGCAAAGCCTAATAATTTGAAGGTTGAGAAATTTTCAGAAAAGTAGAGAACCCACAAACAACTTTTAAATATTTAAACTAAAACATCCATATCTGTTAAGTATGGTCAGAAATGCAAAGGTAGAGACAATTAGATGTCTAAGGGAACCACGATTTCTTTAAATTGTTTATTGTACTTGTTCTTCTTGACTTGCACAATTTAATCCAAATTTCATACTTGATGGCAATGTCACGTGCATGCTAAGCTCTAATGAGATTCTCTGTTATTACTTCAATTCTCAAATGGATAACGCAAAGATACCTCAATTCCATAGATAATACATGGAAATCTCAATTTCAGAAGCTCATCTTTCTGATTCTCGAATGATATGATGCAAACATACAAATTTAAAAGTCGCAAATAGAATGTTTTTATTATCTTTCATTATTTCAGTTAGCTAGTATTTAATTGTAATAGATTTGACCAGAAACCGACTTGTTTGCTACATACATTCTCTAAAATGCACTTCTAGATTCAGATTGTGCATTTGTTTGTCTTATTTTAACATTCTTAATTTTGATCTGATTGGGCATGTATAAATGGTTATTTCAAGGATGGAGCTATAAAATAAAAATAGCAATCTTGAACAATATTCTCCGATGTTTGCAAAAATTGTACCATGAAAGACAGTTTAAAACATCCAACATGGCTAAAAATTACAGAAATGAAAAATCCAAACATTGCGTTAGAACAAAATCTTTGAAGATGATACCAACAAGATGGTGCTTAGATCATAAACTGTAACAGAATTTTTATGGATATAAAAGTTAAACTTAACTCAGTTAAGGTTAATACAGATTGTATCATAAGCATATGTTAGGTGGATGCTTGACTTTAAAACTAGCTACAAATCAGAAAAAGCAGGAGTTTGCACTTTCCATAACAATCAACTTAGGAAGATCAACAATGGAAAACCTTTCATAATATTCTCTAATAAACAAGGCAAATATCAATCAAGAAATAGGGGCAGATATGTAATATTATCATCACCTTGGGCTCGGAAGATGGTGAAGCTGGAAATCCATTCATAGATCTTTCAGCATCATTTTCAGACTCACAATCTGAGCAAAGAAAGTGATCCAACTTTTTTGCTTGTTCAATTGTCACGCCCATGCAAGATGGATGGAACCTGTTTGCATAATCATTTTTATCACCTCAGAAAAACAAATATACGTATCTATATTAAAGGAAATGTGATATAAGTAAACCAAAGTTTAATTACAGCAGAGAAGTGAAACCAGAAACAATAACTGCTCGTTGGTATAAGGACTTCATCCTGAGGATTGATGAAGAAACAGATGCTTCACATGCAACGTCATAGCACAGGATGTAACTTCAAATTTCCAAATACATCATGTTGCTAGGAGTAGCAATTTCAATAGGCGCTCGGGCGAGGCAAGGCGAGGCCCGAGCGCCTTGCTTCACTTCCAGGCGACACGCTTCAAAGAGGCACCGCCTGGGCGCTTGCCTGAGCCCAAGCGCCGGGCACTTCGAGCGAGCGCCCGGGTTAAACTAGGCGACCAAACCAGCGTTTTAGGTCTGGTTCGGTCTCCAGTGCTTTAATTGGTTCAATCGAACCAACTAAAGCACCGATATCAGCCTTCCTCTCGCGACTTCAACCCTAACCCTACTCGCCGCTCCCACTGCCGTTGCTCGCTGCTACTACTGTCGCTGCTACCGTTGCCACTCGTCGTTCCCGCTGCCCCTACCGCTGCTCGCTGCTCACTACTACTGCTCCCGCTCCCGCTGTCGCTACCATTGTTACTGCTCCCGCTACCGCTGCCACTGCCACTGTCGCCACTCCCGTTCTTGCTGCTCGCTGCTACCGCTGTCATTACCACTGTCGCCACTCATCACTCCTGCTCCCGCTACTGCTGCTCTCAATCAGCAGCCTCGGTCTTCCTCTTACTCACACTCTTCTCACTTCGATAGTATACTATTAACAGTGTATTAACAGTATACTACTATTTGTATACTAGTAACAGAATTTTATTTATTAGATTAATAACATATTATTTTGATTTTAATACTGTTAATTTTTATTTATTTAAAATTATTACTAGGTTCCAGGATAAATGACAAGTGTACAGAGCAACTCAATAGATTCTCCAATGACATCAAAAAAAGATCCTGCATGGAAGTATAATCATCTAAAGGATCCGAAAGATCCTAATGCAATGACTTGCATGTTCTACGATAAGACTACTAGAGGTGGTATTTTTCATACAAAACAACATCTAGTAGGAAATTTCAAGACTGCAGCAGCTTACAAAAAGTGTCCACCTGAGGTAAAAGAAAAGTTGCTGAGTTATATGAACGAAAAGAAGACGCAAAAGAATGAATATTACGAAAATTTACCAGAAGATAATGTTGAACATCTCAGGGATGAAGAAGAAGATTATTCTATGAATATAAACCCAAGTGGAAAAAAAATATATGAC